CCCATGAAAAATGTTTATTTCATAAACATAGAATATTTATGAAATAGACATGGACTGTTATAGACAGTATAGAAATTCAAGTTTTGCAGTTATTAATAATCATTTATAATTATTTTATTATTAATGTAATATTTGTATTTTATTTTAACAGAAACAGCAGTTATTACAACGGCTTCTTTTAGAAAATGCTTCGAACTAACCATGCTTCCAAGAGACACCTCTGAGACAGTCGGCTCCTGAAGAAGTTACTACCAGCACTGATGAAGAGGGCAGAATTGGGAACATAGATTGGTGCACCTGGGGAATCTGCATTACGATGCCAACTGTGGAGGAGTCTATTTGTTGTAAAGAAATTGATAATGTAGTATGCCAGCTTGAAGATGCACCTTGTATTATCCATCATACTTTCTTCAAGCAATTCTGCCAGGAGGATTTTGCCCACTTCCTCTACTGCTTCCTTGGCGTTGAGTCCCAGAGGCCTTCTGAAGCATTATTTAACAGGTAGGTATATTTTCTTACTACTAGGGAATTGTGAAATTCTTACCCTTGAAAAATGATTATATCATATATGTACTCTTTATGACTTAATCATTTAGATTGTGTTTGTATTTCACTAAAATTCTAAATAACTCAAGAGATATACAGAGACATATTTTGATATAATTTGTCTCTGTATATCTGCCTGGGTTGGTAATTCAGTAAAATTACAACACATTTTTAATTAGTATTTCAGAAAGATTCTATCTTAATAAAATATTATTTTTAAAAGTGATTGTGACAGTGTATGGTAGCCCCTCATTGCTTTATAGACCTAATTGCTGTAGTCTCGCAAATGCGCTATTACAGTATTTTGGTCGACTTTTAGTGCTGAAGTGCCAGAAGTTGATGAAGAGCCTACTGAGGAAAATGTCAGTGACCACAAGGTTCAGGTTCAGGTAAGTAAACTCACCCCCCTCTCTTGCATTTTTTTTTTTTTTTTAAATGCTAAGATAACATTTGTAATATTTAGTATTATTATTTTCTATGCTACAACTGTGTCATAGTCAGAAATCTTTATTTAAAAAAACTGACCCAAGTTTCACTATGTAGGCAAATGAGGAAGACAGCATATCGAGGTTTTACCACCTAGATTCATGGGTACCTTGGACAAAAAAATCGAAGGCCCATTCCATCATGTGCAGTTCATGCCATTCGTACTAATTTCCCAGACCCAGAAAATTCAATTGTTACAATTCATCTTGAATTTATATGTAAAATAGTTTATTATAAAGTTTTCTTCTTTTCAACCATGTATTGTGAGTTCTTTTTTTGGTTTCCTTATCCATGTGTGAAAGTACAACATAGAGGTCTATGTAGGCTCCCACAACATTGTGGGATTCTCCATAAATGCACCCAATTCACTGCAGCCATTACTGGTAAAGGCTGTTAGGAATGACCATTGGACTGACCTTTGAGTGTAAGAAAGTCAGGTGTTGGAGAAATACAGAGAGAAATGTCAAAATGAGTATTTCATAAAGATTCGGTCTTGATGAAATACTAATTTTTCAGGTGTTGACAGTGACTGTTTAGTTGTCAATTTCAACGATGGCATTTAAAGAATGCAATAGTTTCTCTCTTTATAAATTGATACATTTTGAATGAGGCTCACTTTTAACACAATTGTGAAATTATTGCATTCTGTAAACTTTGCTGTTAAATTTTACCTTGTGATTTTGTTTCACATGTAAATATTTGTTTGAAAAAAAAAATTAAAGAAATATATACGCAAACACCAAATTAATACAGGAAACATGTATTAAATTTCTAACTTTAAACTTTATTAATAGCATAAAACTTAATCTTTATATATTTCCTATATAATACAACTTGAACTAAGAGTTTTAATTTAAAAATCAATTTTAATGTTTATTTAACTTTTTTAATTAAAACTGTTAAATATTTAAAAGTGTTATAAGTTTAATTTAAATAGTTTTTAGATGTAATTTCCTATATAATACAACTTGAACTAAAAGTTTTAATTTAAAAATCAATTTTAATGTTTATTTAACTTTTTTAAATAAATTAAAACTGTTAAATATTTAAAAGTGTTATAAGTTTAATTTAAATAGTTTTTAGATGTAATTATTTTAATGTTATCAATTAACAATAAATATAGTATAACTAGAATATTACAATTGTAATCTATAATATTGTTATAAAATTTAATTTTTAAATGTACATATTTTTTTCTCAATTATGCAATTAAATTTTTCAGAATTAACCTAAACCTAGAAGATAAAGTTACTTTTTAATTATTTTAATATAAAATTGTTTTAATATAATTTATTTAATTCTTTATTAATCTAGAATATACTTTTCATTAATACAATTACTTTTTAATGAATTAATTATAGACATTTTTAGGCAACCTTGTAGTCAAAGCTTCATTAAACTAGTGTTTTAGTAACTACAGAATACTTCTTAAACTTAGTTAATAATATTCTAAGACTATAATTAAATATTTTATTATTATTATTATTATTTTAATCTAATTGTTGTTATTTTAAAATATGATGTATGCTAACAAAAAGATCGAGCTTAGTGTTTACAATGTGTCCTCAAACATATATGCAGAATTGTTTTTAATAAGTCCTCAGAGTGCTACTTTTATCTTTGTGTTGATTTAACTTTTAAATTACAGAATAATGTAGTTGTTCTGGTGAGTAGTCAGTCCCTGCATGAGGTGCTTTCTAGGACAATAATCTGCATGGAGGCGCTGAACTTTCCCTACTGAGATGCATTGATTAAATCCATCTCTTTGAGGAGATGCTGATTGTCGGAGCAGAGTTAGGTTCCGTCTCCTTGGTTGACATCAACAGAAATTACGATCTCACCCAATCCAGCGCTTTCCTACGGGAAACCATTGTGATTGGCTGAGATCGTCAATTGTGATGATGTAAGTCAAGGAGGTGAAATGTAGGCAGAGAGAGCGCAAGCGGACATGTGTGGCTATGGAAATAAGGTGAGTTTTTTATAATATTGAAGTGTGCTGTGGGGGAATAAATAGTGTTTGCACCATTCTAAAGTCAAGAACACTTTTGTGTTTTTGACCGTATTATGTTTCTTTAAACTGGCACTGTTATGCCAAACATACTGTTTTCCAATAATTTAGCTTCTCCTCCTCTCTCAGAATCATTTATCCTTTTCTTTATTCCTGATATATTTCTTTAACACCAAAGACAAAGTAATGACTACTACATTTTTTTTTCCAAGGCTTAACTTTCTATGGCTAAAGGAGGAGCTTAAGTATGCTCCATTTCCTGTGTAAAGTAGGAGAATGAGTATTGTGCCAAAACTTTATTTGACACAAGAATTGGAGCGGACTTAATCTTCTCCTTTGATCAAAGAAAGTCAAGCATAGGAAAAATACATAAGACAAAGTAGTCCCTTCTTTGTTTGATGTGGTCAAGAAAACTACATGATAAATAATTAAAAATAAAATAATAAATGATTCTGAGAAAGGACGAAAAAATTAAACAGAGACAGGTACGTTTGGCATGACTGTGCCCCTTTAATTACTTGAAACGGCTCACATGCTCTTCTACTGCCTTTTTTAAATCAGGCTTTGGAATTTTAGCAATGTTTTTGGGTACTGTTGTGGATTTTGAATTCCAATCCACATGCAAACTCTCACTGCAAATTTTTAATACACTCATAAGAATTTGTCTATATGAGTGATTGTCATTGGCTCGTACATAGTACGAACAACCCATCTTTTTCTGGAACGTGGGAATTCCAATCTATTTCGCAAAGTTCCAACAGGATCAGTGCCTTTGAACGAAACTTTGACAATTGCTTGCTCATGATTAACGTTACTGTTGTGAGCAAGAATAGCCAAAAATTTTCTAGCCTCCATGGAATCCAGTCCAAAATGAATCCTTTTGGGCCTGTATTTCAAAACAAGGTTATGGAATGTCTCCAGACAGAAGTGGACTAAGTGGTCAAAATTCTTCACAAGCTGACCATCATTAATAAATTTAACTAGGTTTTCATATGCTTGTGACTTTGGTTTCAACCATAAACCTTTGTCAATCACTTCTTGTGATAGTGGTTTGTGCGAACAAGCGTGGTACTTCTCTGCACCTTCCCATTCGTGACAATTGGAAATGTGACATGAGAGTGAATTTCAACGCTCTTTTAATTGCACTTCCCTTTCACATGTCTTAATGCACCACCAAAAGTGGTTTATAATTTGTCTGATCCAAAAAGAAATCTCATGACAATTTTTTTTCTTAGAAATTGCCCTGAGCTTCTTTGTGAGATTTTTAGCATAGTGCCATACATCAAATTGATGTGTAATGCCACTATACTTTTCTCTCATCAATTTACGGATGCCAACATGACGATCAGTAGCGATCATTTGGACATCAAGGTTTTCAGATCTCAGTCTACAAACAAGTCTGAAAACCTAGTTTTTCCATAGCAATGGATGACGTTGTCTGAGACACCTGTGTAATTTCGAAGTCAATAATTATTTTACTAAAGACATCCATGAAAGTGTAAATGCAATATTTAGCACTAAATCCTGGACTGTCACATTGACCATCTCCACTCAAGCAGAGTGGAAGTTCATTCCATAGGGGTCTACAAATGTCTTTCTCCAATTACCAATGATGTGACAAAGCGGGAAAAAGGTATTTACGTTGGTAACGGTAATACCCACTTCCTGAAATATGTTGTAATCCATAAATGTTTAACATTTCATGGATTTTTTTAAAATTACAGCCACTGAAGAGAATTGATGCTGCCACTAATATATTGCCAGCACCAATTTGACTAATGAGTGGCTGACTGTGCCACAACAGAAATTTGTGTCCAGATTTACAAGTTGCATAGATTTTTAATAGTGAACCCTCTGTACGCTTTCTAAGAGAAACAATCTTAGATGTACAGTGCAAGTTTTTCTGGCATGGGATTTTGTAGCATAACAAATCTAGACAAGATTCAAATACTACAAATTTTCAGTAATTTACACACTGAAATTCAATATTTAATTCCTCAGTGTTCAAATCTAAATCAATGGATGTATCCATAGTGCAAAAACTATCCATGACATAGTCTGGATCACGCTTTTGCTCTTTGGAGACATTCAAAGTACTCTCTAAGTCTGACTTCTCAATTGCAGCACTACTGTCAATATCTGTAGATACATTGTGTAGTTCCGCAATATCTTGGTTAAAAAAATCCAAAAGATCCATTGGATCTTCATTTGATTCCTCTGTAATGGTTCCGAATTCCATTTCTTTATCTTTAATTTTAATAGGGGTAGAAGTTATTATCTTAGATGGACTGAACACTTCAGTCTCTAAGATAATAGGCATGTCTTTACAATATAAATGCTCCATTTTTATACATTTTAAAATTGGAGCCTCATGGTTAGTGGATTTGGCAAATTCAATTGCCTCTTCCACTGGTATACAGTCGGTCTGAATTGATATTTCCCTTGTACAATTTAAATCTTCAGTTGAAGTTGAAGCATCGCACATAATCTTGGCAAGCTCCAAGTGAGTTACAGAGGTACAGGGCAATGATGTGTTTACATCCATTGCTTTGGTTTTTTTATGCCTGTGGAATATCTCTTCAGCTATGCAAGGAAGACCTGCTTCAAAATTGAATTTTGAAGGCAGTGCATGCGGTTTTAAAAAAATGCTTTGATCCCCTCAACTCAAAGGAACTGTCCTCAAAATGTCTGGAGCAGATCCGGTACGTAGTGTGATATATTGGGTCAGTTATAATATCCAAAATTTGTTCAATATTAACAAAATTTTGACGAGTCTGCTCCAGCCATTTTCTGGCTAAAAATATTTTACTGGGAAAGACATGAAGAGTTGTTACTTCATGCCCAGTTCTCCCGGGTCTGCTCCTGCACCCGGTAACAACGCAGTTAGGCATATTTACCAGAAAATGAAAAAGTAAATTTAAATTAGAATGTTTCTTTCAATAATGTAATACAATTTTTTTACAACCATTGCTAATGTACAGTACCTTGAAATATATTGGACGCTAAGAAATAAAAAAATCAAACGACGATTCGCGCATAAAAATCCTGAAATATACAAAATAATTGTTCAAAATGTACTTACTATTACAAAGCACTCTTTGCTATTTGATATATAATTATTGTATTGAAATGAAGTGTCTAATTGCAATGTCTTCATTTAAATTTCTGACGTCAAAGCAACCTCAGTTGAAGTAAAAATAAGCACAGAAAGGAGTCCATACTTTTTATGCACTTTTTTTGGCTATAAAATGTGCATAAAATTATATATGCAATGATTGACTGTCCGCATTTTAATTATTAAAGATTACATCTATGAAAAATAATCAAACTGGAGCATGTCGATTTTGAGATATATGCATAAATGTATTGATCTCCGTATCATGCTGGTGCTATACCGCTGCTGGTGCTTGAATACATACTGCATATTTCATGTATTTAAACTTTGTTAATCTATGAAATATTTTAAGCTATATTATGTTTAGGTTCACATGATAATATATGTTGCACTGCATATAGACGGGTAGTTCATCTTTATTGTCCGATTCACAGTGTGTTATAGATGTTGAGTAGTGGTGTTGTAGGAGTTGTTGTGATTCAATAGTGTTGTTGATCCTGCGCTATATTACATTTAGAATGTATAGAACCTATCAATGCATTGTGGTTCTTATGCTCACAATACTTTGCATAATGGTGGTGAAGTCTTCTAGTTATTTCAGATGGCTTGTTGGTTATATGTCAAGAGGTATTATTAAATGTGTGAGTGTGTGTGTGTATATATATATATCCATAAAAAAGTGTGGTTTTACATGTGTTGATCACTATGGTTCATAGCTTCAATGCTCACTACATAATGCTCATTTTAGGTATTTACACCTTTGTATTGTACGTACGCAATATTGTATACTATATTATGTTGAAGTACACATTATAATGGATGTATATTTTCCTTATTATGATGTGTTGCAGTAATTATTGCTTGGTAATACCTCTTTATTGACGGTGTCACAGTATGTTGTAGATGGTGGCACCGTACAAGTTTACTTCTGTTAATATGCGAGTTGATCCTGCAGCAAATTACATATATTATGTATATAAACTATTAATACACTGTAATTCTTATTTCAAAAAGGTTTACAAAAGTTTTGGATGAGTATTTTGGGATTTGTCATTCGATTGTTGTTTATTGAATCCACGCCACGTATTGGTTCAGTTTCACTGGTTCAGGGTGATTGCTTTTAAGGTTACAGGTGGGATCTGGTAGTATTTGAATCTGATGTATTTAATGTTCTATGTATTCAGTAACAGCAAACTCATACAGCTACTATTTTCAACTAAAAACACACACTTTGATATACCACGTGCAGCAAACACAAACAGATACCACGTGCAGCAAACACAAACAGATAACACGTGCAGCAAACACTTTCAGCTATAACATTCAAACACTTTGATATACCACGTGCAGCAAACTAATTACTGATAAATATAATTATTTATAAAGGGTGGCTAGCTAAGTGTAGTGTGAGTGGAATTGGGGGGGGCAGGTTTACTAAATAGCTAACTGAAAATAGAAATTAAATAGGGAAAATATTGAAAATAATTATTAATCAAGCGAGGCTGGCTAAGTGTAGTGTGAGTGGAATTGGGAGGGGGCAGGTCCACTAAATAGCTAACTGAAAATAGAAATTAAATAGGGAAAATATTGAAAATAATTATTAATCATGGGAGGCTGGCTAAGTGTAGAGTGAGTGGAATTGGGGGGGATGGCAGGTCCACTAAATAGCTAACTGAAAATAGAAATTAAATAGGGAAAATATTAAAAATAATTTTATTACATGACAGGAGGCTTCCTATTTTGCATGACTTTCTTTACTCATGCCTCCAGCAGCACAAGTCAATCAATAAACTTTAACCAATCATAAAAGAGTACATAACCATATATAAGGCTCTGATTGTCACATGACTTCCTCTTTCTTTGCTGCTTCCAGCCAAGGCACAGGTCAGAGTATTCTGCTCTTACTATTTGTCTATTATATGTGCATTTCTTACTGTCTCTTTAATTGATGCTGGCTTACTCCCTACTGTGTGTTCCCCTTTAAATGATCTTAGTTTTCTGACTGCTCCCTCAGCTTGTTAATTTTCCCTTGTGGGGTTTTCCCTGTCACTGGGGCTGCATGGTACTTGCCTCTGGTCGGTTTTGGTCCCTCGCGATTCGCGGCATTTTACCGCGATCGCGCGAGACCGTGGGATCTGACCAGGGGCTCCAAGGGCTGGGGGGGGTGACTGGGGGACACAGGGGGACCGGCCAGGCTTGTCGGATCGCGGTCGCGGGCCGCGATCGCGAGCCGCGCGGCAAATTTGCGCGGGAACGGCGGCCATCTTGGATCTCGCGAGATCCTCGACGGCCATCTTAGGTTGCCAGTTCGTGATTCCCACGAACTGGCAGAAAGTTTGTACAGAGTCCCCACGTTCATATAATGTGGGAGGTTATATGCGGTTCTCCATACTGTTACACTGTACTGTTGGTTAACCCCCTACTCCCTGGATACAGGAGTTACTGCAGGCACCTAAATGAAATAAAGCTTAAAGGAATACTTACCTGCTTGCACCCATGGACTGCTCAGGGTGCTATACTTAATGCCTAGCTCTCACTGAGGACACTGGTGGCTGACTCACAGGGCATACACTGAAGACAGGATACACAAAAATCTGAAAAAATAAATAAATAAATAAATTAAAAAAAAAAATAAATATATATAAGTTTATGCAGGGGTGCTCTTCACGCCCACTCAAAAGGGCTTATAGCAACGTACGCTTTATTATATGCGGCACCTCCATGGTACAACTGGGGTGATCCACGTAATTCACTGCCTATTGGTAAAGATCCCACAGTGGCGTAACTTCCACATGCAAAATAAAAAGCGTACTGAGGTCTTTGACACCTCCCATTACCGGGCCACGTCCCGACCATTACCGGGCCTCGTCCCGACCATTACCGGGCCTCGTCCCGACCATTACCGGGCCTCGTCCCGACCGTAACGACCGTGCACCCCGGTCGATGAGAGGGTGACCCCCTCTACAGACCACTACTCAAACTCCTAGTGGTACTGATTATATGGTACCTGGGTGACCCCCAGTTGTACGTGGAAGCCACTGTGTAGCTACATACGCACTGACGTATACCATATCTACCCACAGACGGGAAGATCAAACTGTCACCATGTCAGACGCCCCTCCATCATCGCCCATGGATTTCCAGGCCATGATCAATGCCGCAGTGTCGGCTTCGGTGGAAAAGGCGTTAGCCAAAATGATGGCGCAACCACAGGCGGAGGGGGCAGAGGCCACGCCTCCGACAAGAAGAGAGGATACAGAGCACACCGAGTCCAAGGCGGAGGCTGGGCCGTGCAAACGACAATGGAGGGGATCCAACACGACCCTGCAGAGATGGGAGGGAAAGGTGTTGCGAAAGCGGAGCCGCCAGTCTAGGCGCCCGGAACGCTCCCCTCCACAGCCCCCTTCCTCAGGGGATGAGGAGCCGCTATCTCCACCTTCATTAGAAGTCATGGACGAATGGAGGGCAGAGGATTCCCCCTCGGAGGAGGAGGACTGGCAGGACATGCCTCAAGAGGTCGGAGACTGCGACCAAGGCCCCGAACGGGCACACCGCTCAGGCGGCAAAAGCACACGTAAAGTGCATACGGAGGTATATGAAGATGGGGTGTTTCTGGATGGGGCTGGCAACCCCTTGTTTGATCCACGTCAGATACGACACCCCAGATCGTCAGAATGGAACCTGCCGGACCATCTGACTCACTTTGTACATTTTTGGCTGAGGAAGCCAATGGACAAGGAGGTGCGGGCCAAGCTCAAAGCAGAGTGCCCACGTCCCGTCCTCCCGGACAAGATAGCCCTCACCCCAGAGTTCGATGCCACAGTGGGGGTGTTTATGTCCCGCTCGGGCAGAGACCCACGGAAAGGTGTTGAAAAGGGCATGAAATCGGTCCAGGACAAAATGCTGGACATGCTAGGTCCTTTAGCGAGGATCCTATACCTCGCAGATGTGGCCCTCACCCAGGGGACGGCCCTCGAGGCACACGACATTAGAGAATGGGCACAACGAGCGATCTGCCTACTAGGGAACTCCAATGCCGCCATGTGCGCAGAACGCCGTAAAGCGGCTTTATTGAAGATAGACTCCAAACTGTTGGACCTGGGGAAGAAAGAGTTAGGCCCCCTGGCGGAGGGACTGCTCTTTGGAGAACCATTCATGGCAGAACTGAAGAAGCACGTAGGCCTGTTCACTACACTGAATAAGGCACAATCATCTATTAGACAGGTCTTTCGGAACCCACAGACAACTCGAGGTGTTTTTGGCAGGGCTGGTCGGCAGAGGGGTCGGGCCACCAGCCGTTTCTGGCCATCCGGCCCCAGTCGCCCATACGCTACACAACAGTTTTTCCCATCTGCAAGAGCCAACTTCACAAGGGGATCCTTGCGTACAAGGGGCACTCGGAACAGAGGAAGGGGACGTTACAACTCAGG